TCCTTATTGTAGTTATATTTCTAATAAACAATTAATCAGTGACACTGGGGAGGGGATCACAAACTTAGGAAAAATCCAAAGTTCAAAGTATAAATATAACACAAGACAGAGCTATGGAATGTGTGGACATGGCTTTCAGCTGCACAGGACTGACTGCAGTCCTGCACAGTCACAGTTTCTACACATAGGCAAAAGGCCTGTCAAGTACAATTAATTTTAGCTACTCCTAAAATTAATTCTTTTCTCAGGGGCCCCGCAGGGCTTTTATGACATAGTGCCAACCTTCTAGTCCTCCAAGAATGAGTTTATGATCATCAGTTTTTCCAGAAGTTAAAGTATTTCAGTGCTCATTCTACATTTTAATCTCAAGCTGATTGGCTTATAACAGTAAAGTCTGTATGATCTAATTCCCAGCACCAGTCCCCTGATTAAACACTTCAGTTAAAATGTTTATTTTTAATTAAAATAATTTAAAAATATTTTATACAATTTGGATCCAACCAGCCTCCCTGGGTTATACTACCTTATAACAACAAACATTAAGCAAAATACAAAGATGTAAGGCTAAAAAAAGAATAATTAGTTAAGCTTTAAACTGTGTTTCAGAGTGGGCATCTACATAACATGCTTTATGGCAGTGGACTAATTAGCTCTGCAGTAAAGCATCACCATCTACATGTGTGATGCTATTAAGCTGGAGAAAACTAAATGACTCCACCATAGGACACTAATGCCTGACACAAATACTATCCTACGGCTGAGTTATTTGCTCCGCTGCAAAGTACATATAGACAGTGACCAGGGCTGCCTGATACATGAGGGTGCTACAGTGCAGGGATCCCTGCTGGCTAGCCCCACACTGGAGCACCCCTGAAACCCAGCTAGCCCCTCTGCAGTATGCTGAACCAGGGCAGGAGCAGCTCTGGGCTGGCAGGCTGACCACCTGGGTCCCCCTTCCAGCCAGGGCTGTGCCACCCTGGCTCAATGTGTTGCAGTCTCGGGTGCATGTATAAACACTGTGCAGCAATAAACTCTTGTGCAAACTGCACCAGAGTTTATTCAGGTGCATTAATTGCATGTGTGAATGCACCCAGAAAGTATCAGTGAAGTTACTTGAAGATCTTGTGTGTTGAGTGTGTGTGTGGCTTTTCTCACTAAGCCTAAGAAGTTAGCTCATATGTACCAGTGTCTGTCCAGTACCTTAAAATCTGCATATGACACTGTTGCCACCAAGAGCTAAAGCCCTGGGATATACATGTGTACCAAGGTACTCTAACAAGCTAGGACTGTTCATATAGCCACTAGTGTTAATGATTTTTCAATAATTCATGATTTGGGAAACTTTCCCTCTGGCCCCCAATATATATGATGAGAGAGAACAGAGTTCATTAATTAACTACTTGCAAGCAGTCTGAAAGCCACAGGTGCAGATAATTTATACGGGCTGAAATTTTCATAGTTATCATTGTTGAATGCTCTGTGCATCTTGGGCCAGATTTTTAAGATGTGCTCCACAACTGTAACTCTGACTGCCAGCTGGAGTTGTGCTGGCTGGTACCTCAAAAAAATCATGCAATCATCCAAAAGCAACAGTACCAAAAACAAGTGGACACATTAAAAACAAAAACCTGCCCGCAGAAATTCTAGACTCAAAAGGTGAATATGCATATGTGTATAGAAAGAAGGATACATCTAGAACACCAGTCTTAATAAACAAAATAAACAGGTCAGTTTACCTCTTAATTTCTTTGAGAGTTTTAAATTACACTATGTATCCAAGAGTTGGAAGTTACCGACCCTTCTTAAATTACACTTTACAAGTTAAGTTATCCTGTTGTAGAGGGAACTAACAATATTAACCAAGCATAGACTTCTGTCAGTAAGAAAGGATGCTCAGTTAAATAGAAAGGGAAATGTTCCATGATCTGGAGGAACAGATGAAAAGGAATACTGTTGAGCAGTTATGATCCAAATTTGAAATACCTGCAAATTACTGTGTGTTGTTAAGATGTATCCTGTAAATTGTAAATATCTTTTTATTTTAAATCCACCATTTTCAAGATATGAAAAAAAATACTGATGCTTTTATTAGGACTGCTAGAAGTCTGCTTTTCTTAGCATAGGAAATAGCAGGTACTTCATGTTTTATACAATATTAAGTATATGGTCAAGTGTTTGAAATATAAATTATTAATAATATTAATATTTTTTTCAAACTACTTGGAACGTGTGTATAGGACCAAACTGAAATCTTTACTATGTTTACAAATACTCATATATTACAGCTATACCAAATCTTTGGAAAGAAATATTATTCCTGGAAGAACTGCTTTCATGACCCAATCTTGTGATGACAGAAATTAGAAACAAACTCCCACTGTCTTCTCTGCAATAGGACTGGGGCCACAGGGACTGGAAAGAGGAAAAGCATAGAAAGGATACCATTTTTCAGGATGAGATGGTGAGACATCCTTTACACCAAAATAACTTTACCAACTAGTAGCTTTAGGTAGTTTTCTCTGATAACTGAAAACAGATCTTTTCCCTCCTTAGACTTAAAAGCAAGCAATCAGTGTTTACTCCAGTCTGCAGAATTAGATGAAGCACAAAATTGGAATGCATTTCCAGTTGTTCCATTATTTGAAGAATAGGATATAGTTTAATCAGAGCACCAAACTTTTTTCTACCCCAACACTTTTACTGGGCTGGTTTTGTTTTTTTTTTTACCAGACACTTTCAAGTACA